AAAAAAAAAAAAAAAAAAAAAAAAAAAAAAAAAAAAAAAAAAAAAAAAAAAAAAAAAACGGTTTCTATTTTTATTCAGTGATGACTTTTCAGGGTTTTACTCATAACTTGTCTACGTAAAAATTTAGATTATCTAGAAAGGAATCGGTCTTAATTATTTCAGAAGATCAAGGTTCTATTGCACAGTAATACTAATACTAGTAATATAAAAAATGTACTTTTGATTCTTTGGAATTGACAATTTTTATTTCTTAAATTTCAATATATTGCCTTTCTAAAATGATAAGAATGGAAAAAAAAAAGAAACAAAAAAGACAATTTCAAAATTAAAACACAAATTTGTCACAAAATTTAATAAATAAATACTGAAACATTTGTTTTATTGGTAAGTAGATTAAAATAATTCACCATTAAACTTAAAAAAAAAAAATTACATTTAGGATACATTTTATACAGCTTTATTTTCATTAATATTTAAAGCAGTGCTAATTATGTATAAGGCTGAAACATTCTGCTTAATTCTGCAATATAAAAGTAAGAATATTTTTTTAGTCACAAGTTTAATGTTGGTATGTTCTTATACAACACTGTAACGTTTTGACTACTTGAAGCCAATAAACACAAAATATTGAATACAGACCCTTTATTTAATTCATCTTGCAATTCTTCATTCATTTCTTTAACATGCTTTTTTAAACACAATTTCACAGCTGTAACAACTTGATGGCATGAAGATTGAAGCATCTTCAAGCTCTAATAAAATGAAAAATAAATTACAATTCTTTAGTAATAATTGTTTAAATGTAATTGGTTTTGAGTATGATTTAATAAATTAAATTATCTTCAGAATAAATTAATTGGTCTATTTAATATTAGCTTCTTGAACCATTAAGATTGCAATTTAGTATGTAGCATTTTGAACATTAGATAAAAGTTATCAACGAGTTCCATTTCTCTTTCCACACTGTAAATACAAACAAAAACAAATTCATAATGACTATAAAATTAATGTGGAAAATAGTATTCCATAGAATCATGAATAAAAATGCTTTTATAATAGAAAATAGATCGCATTGCAAAAAATTATGAAAATTTACAAAATATTAGATTTAAACTGTTTAGAATTTTTTTTTATAAAAGATATGCATAAAGAGTTGGATTAGGATAGGATTGATGTAGAGTAGTATAACACAAAAAACCAGTTATACTGAATCAATTTTAAACAGCAATAAGATGAAGAAAATTAAGCATTGTATTTTAAGTCTGATAAAAAAAGAGAAAAGATGACTGAATTCAACGTTATGGCGTCCATGTTTGAAAAGATATTGAATCCTAGTATTTTCAGTACATTTATTTGGTTGCACAATATTTTTTGGAAAGACACAAAAAAATATATTCTGTTTCTTGGGGTGTGCAAACAATTCAAATTTTGCATTAGTTGATAATAACTCAATTATTCTTTAGAGTAATAAGAACGATATCAATTTAGCTTATAAATTAAAAGAGAAGGTACATCCATAATATTTTTGAATGAAAAATCATTTGAAATTTTATTACTTATTACTTTTATTGCTTATAAACTATTTACATACATAGTTTTGCTACAAATCATCAAACCATACTTGTTTTAGTTAAAGAACATTTTGTTTAAAAAAATAAATGTCCAGTTATTAAAAGCTTTTTCATACTTTAAAATAGCATATTTACATTTCCAAATTTAAATGTCACACACGATTTTTCTTCTTCTTGAAAATTGATTAAAGTTAGTTTGATAGATAGCTATGAAGTTTCTTATGTTAGCCATGTAGTCCCCCCCCCCATAATTGATTGATTAGAGGACAGAGATTGTGGAATTGGTTATTGGAGTACTGTGGGTTGTGCACCTTTACAAAATGAACAACAGTGAAACCTTAAGGAAAGACCATTTCTATTTACGGCCACTTTAGGGAGGCAGGGAATTTTTTCTATAGATTTTGAGTTGAAGTAAACCTATAGGAGAGACCATTAAAACCTAAGCAAACATCTGCACCTAATGCAGAAAAGCTCGAATAAATAAAACACGAAAAAATATCAAAACAAAAAATTTAACAAAACAAATATGTAGAATAAAATGTATTCAAAATATTTATGTGAGGCTCACCTTTAGAGAGCTCTATTTGATGATACAACCTCATGTTGCAGTCAGAGGGCACTAAAGACGATGCCATCAGATTTACTTTTAGAGTTGAAAGTTAAATTAGAAAAAAAAGTTATTTTTAAAAAAAACAAGCATCTAAAACAGACAAATCTTTTCTCACCACCTAAAGCTAACTAATTTTTATGATATAAAATTAAATGCAAACTTAAACTAAAAACATAATTGCTTATTTATTTGAAATAGCTTTATGATTCATAATTGGTAAATTTGTTTTTACACATAATTATATTAGTTGGGATCATTTTCATAGAAGCTAAATTTTATTCATCAATACATCTTTTCATTACGCCAACAGAAGTGGCATTTCTGCATCAAGAAAAGGACACTGACTAAAATGAAAATCTTTTGCGAAAAATCATGCACCTTCGATAACAACTTTGAAGTCAATGGAGGAAGCCTCTAAGAATGAGCTATCTCCATCAATGACCATTTTACTGCGGAACAGAGAGTAGTCGCTCCTGAAAGGTTTTACTGTATTAAAATATTAATCCAGACAGAAAATTCATACCTCAGTCAAAAGAGAAGGATTTACATATCCACTGCTATCCATATATATAACTTGACTCTGATATTCTACCATCATTGCCATACTAATTTTTGTAAAATCTTTAACCTAAAACATAAGAAAGGATTAAGCAATTAAAATATGAAAAGACAATGAACTAAAATTCTATTGTATTTAAAGTACTAACTTCAGAGTAATTTTCTTCTTCAGCAGTTGGATCAATTAAAAATTGAGAATTACAGTATATCTGCAAAATATAATAATGGAAGTGTTGTAAAACTTTCAGTAGTAAAATAGGTCATTTTAGAAAATTTACTAACAGAATAAATAAAGATTGATATCAGATATGCATAATATGCACAAACATGGTTTGCGTACAATTTTTTAACATTATTTATTATGAAAAAAATTACTAAATGCTTGCATTGAAATGTTTCTGAACGACTTAGATTTTAGATATAGAATAAGTAATCAGTAAGTGGAATCAATAAGTAAGACAGTAAGTCAAGGTAAATATGATAATCAATAAAGCATAGAGTTTTATTATAAAAAGGCAAAGCTAATTAGTAATTTTTGATTAAATTTCATCAAAATTAGGTGACAAAGAAAAGGTTGAAACTAGTTACAAGTGTCAATAAATTGCTTGCAGAAATTTTTTAGTGATTAGAAAGTTTGGAGAAAGTTTTTTTATTTTATCTAAGTCTGGATAATGTTCTCTACATTTATAATTATCATTATAAAATGACAAGGAATATAGGCAATATAATGGGCTAGTATAATTTTTTTATGCCAAACACTTCCATTAAAAAAAATATATTTTTCTCATGCAAGGCATCTCCTGATAATGAATAAAGTATACGATTCTGTCCTCAGCTTAGAGATACCACTGTATATTCATTAAATCAGTCATACAAAATAATATTAGCTCACATTATGTATTAAAAACAAACGAACAAACATACATATACTTAAATTCAAAGACAATTACAAGGTAATACTTTTATTTTTGCACATGAAGAAATTTTTTTTTAAAAAAAAGCAGAAAATTATACAAACCAAAGTACACCCAACAGGCAAATCATACATTTCAACCCCAGCATTAGATAAAGCAGCTCCAGCACATGTTATAGCAGCACCGGCAGCTATAAGAATAGATCAAATTTTTGAAATATGTAAACCACATGATGAAAACATTTAAAAGATTTCATATAAAAAAAAAATATTGTTACCTCCCCCATCATCTTGCAATACATAAATAGTAATATCCAGACGTGACTTGGGAAATTTATGCTAAATTAAAAGAGTTTACGATGATTTAATATTAATTAAATAAATTTTTTTAATAGTAATGATTTCTTATTTACAGGGGGTTTCAAAAATGCTGCAACAAGCTTTTAAGGCAGGTAGGGCACATCATAAGGATTCAGAATTGTATAGCAACATATGAACAAAAATGTTATTGTATTGTGATGCATTATATCCCATTACTATAATACTACCATGCACTTAAGAGCACTATGTGCGTACTGCTAAGTCCTTACCAATCACATAAATTGCGGAGCCTTAATTTCTTTATGTGGGGAGTTCTTAAAATTATCACATATCCTAAATCTTAGAAGTTAGCAACAACATTCTGTGGTAACGACATCAACAACATTTGCCCTTCAAAGAAATCAGCGTGTTAGACAGCACCAGGTAGTCAAACTATTGGTGTTCAACATGAATAGTGTGAAATGACATAAACTTTAAACATTTGTTGCTTCATTATAAATTTTATACAATTAATATATCATTTGGTACTCATGATACCCTATACATGTTTTAAAATATTCATTTTCCTACGTCCTTTCAGCCATTTCTCCGTCTTTTCAGTTCCTACCATTTTACTCTGATGTTTTTGGTCATGAAAGGTTATGCAATTCTTATGATGTAATTTCTAGCAATTCTGGAAATTTTATTGCAGCATTTTTGAGATACCCTGCATATTATTGACTATAATTACTTACAAGTAAAATTACAGGCTCTAATGCATCTTGAATTGCTTTAGCTGTAGCCATTTCTTCATCAGATGGAACATATGGCTGACGTTCTCTACAAGAAAACATATTGTACTTAAATTCACAGCTAAGTTGGCCTTTCGTCGCAGAATCACTTTTGGTCAAAACATCACGAGGACCAATACTGAAAATTTAAAAAGGTATAATTGAAGAAGTAAAAAAGTAATACATAAATAATGTATTAAAAAGATAAATTATTTCACGTAACATAAATTAAAAACTATTGTTATTTGATATTAAAAAACAACAAAATTCTCAATTCATATTTTCAATAAAAAATATGGAAAAATTAATGTTTTCTACAAAATAATTTGTCATTAAAAAGTATCTTAATATGCCTCATTCCAAAGGTCATCAAATTGACAAGGTCAAATATCTGATACCAGCAAAGATTTACAACCTGAGAAAATCTTACAAAATAATAACCAAGAGAAACACATAATAAATGATGAAATTGAACATTTTAGTTATGATTAATTGAAATTTGTTCTAAGAACTCACAATAAGTGACACATCTCACATAGCAATAGAAATTCTAAAAAAAATGTACTGGTTCGAAAGACCAATAAGCTTCATTGTATACTGGCCCACAAACAATACTTCTGGTCCACCCAAAATCTCTCTATTTGTACATCATTTAAATATGTTCATAATCTTCATTTTGAAAGAAAACTGGTTAATTATAATAAATTGATTTAACAATTTAAAAAAATACTAAAATGTCTCATATAAAAAATAAATGCCTAAAATTGGTGCAATTATCTAAATAAAATTCAGAAAAATAAACACCAGCATTAAATAATAATGTATATTGTTAATATACTTTGTTATTTTCCGCATCAAGTTCTGGCCATTTGTAATTTGTCAACCACTGATTCTGACACATGAGTTTACTTAATTTTCTCACACGGGTATTCTTCATTCAATGTATCTTCCAGTTTTTCTTAAAATCACATTTTGTAACTTCAAATAAAATAAATGATTCTATGATAAGCATAAACCTCAAAAATGAAAAAAAAAAAATTTAACTAAGGTTTGTCAAAGAAAAGCTAAATCAAATTTCCATTATGCTCTAATTATTATCATACCATTCTAATCAAATAAACTTTCTATCATTCTATGATCAATTAATGGCAGATGCATTGGTGGTCTTATAAAACAGTGATCATTTCTTTTCACAATGGTCCAAAAAGGATTTAGCGATCTCGGGCCAGTAAACCACCAAGGATTTTGAATGCTGACATAATAGCTGCCTACTTGAGAGTGAATTTAGAAAGGCTTAACAAAGTAGAAAATAATAATAAAAGTATTTTTTCAAGTAGTAGAGTTTTTTAAAAATTAAACTACTTTGCCAAGACTTAAAAGCATAATTGTCTAAGATATCCTATATACAAATATTTGAATGATTGATTTGTTATGGTAGTTTAAATAATTCAAGATTAAACTTCAAAAATTAATATATAAATTAAAATGATTAAGAATTTTTTTTCAATGATTGTACAAATTTGCATCTAACTCATTCATGTAAGCATTTGAAAAGAATCATATGTAAATATAATGAGCTAGCTAGTGCGAAAAAAAGATACAAAATACTCACAATACCTTAAAGAGAAAGCAAAAGGATAAAAATGATTCTTAATGTAGCACTAAGTTCATGAAAATAGGAATTTTTTTTTAAATGACTACAATCCTTATAAATAAAGCCTAGGTCTTAGCACTAGTGAATATATTATTGTTTTTATACTGATTTTCATTCACAATTCTGTAAACATATGTCAAGAAGCATTTTTTAATTTTTAAACTTTTAATGCTGATTAAATAAAACAAAGTACATTTTGATAAGAAACTATGAAGAAAACAAACATTAATCAGCAGTAGTATGTATGTATACGTATACTTAAACATTAGGAAACAACAGGTGATTCGGGTTTGAATGTGATTTGAATTGTCAAATAAGGTTGATAACTTTAATTAGCAATAGAAATGTTAATGCTGTAATAGAACTTTTATTAGGTCATTGAATAAAAGGTTTTGTCTTGTAAAAATATTCCTTATTATTGCAATTTTTTTTTACATTAATGTTTCTAAATTCAACTAATTATCACTCACACCTTTTTTGCACTGAATAATTAAATAAACTTAAATATGCAAACAGACTTAAATATCTCTCCTGGGCCACTCATACAAACCTTCAATATGTTAAGTGCTTTCAAGTTAAAACAGTAAATTCTTGTAAGAGATCAATTATAAAATTCTTTTTCTAAGTTTGAAGTTGTAGTTTCTAAGTTTGTAGAAAAACACTTGCAATACTTTTCTTAATATCTTTCATTAAGAATAAATGAATAAACAAAAAAAAAATCTTTTTAAATCTAAATAATAAAAACTCTGAAAAAAAAAACTCATTTAAAATTTAAATTTTTTTTTTACATTGTATTAAAAAAGAAAAGCAGTAATAAGATTTGATTAGTCAAATAATCATATACCAACAGCGTTTTTTTGCACAATAAATGCCGAATTTATTTTTAAATTTTGCCAAAATTATATTATTTAGCCATCATTCATTTGTAAAAGAAAAAAACAAACTACAATTACATATTATTTTACAACTAAATATGACTCTCCTAAAGGTCAACTAAATTTAATAATTAAAAAAAAAGACTTAAAGATAACAGGTAATCATGATTTAAGCTCAACTTTAAATTTTAATGAGAAAGAAATAGATTGATGAGAATAGATAAAATGACGAAATGAGATGAGAATAAAAAAATGAGAAGGATTGATGAAATTACACACTTACACTGAACAGATAACTTTCGTATTGCCACATTCAAGATAAGCAGATCCAGTGACAGTAGGTATAAGACCAACTTTTAGGGCTATACAGAAAAGAAAAAAAAAAACACAGTTAATTTTATAATGTAATAATTACATTAAAAGCTAATTACAGTGAAACCTCACATTACGTACACTCCTATAAAATGAATGTTTCTCATAATGCATAATTTTTTTTTTAATTCCCTGTAAATCTTCTATGAAAAAACCACAATGTGCCCTCTCCACAAAGCAGACAGTCCCATAACTGGATGCAGACTGTAATTTATGCTTTGAAAACATTATTTTCAAAATAGACACCCTTTTTTCTAAATGTGAAAAAAAAAAGAATTCTTTCTAATTCAATTCAATTAAAAAAAAAATCTTTCCAGCATTTTTTAAAGAATGTAAATTTTATTATCTTATCTATAACTAAAAATATTTTTAAGCTATTTCAGTACTAGAGAATCAATCAATCTCCGGTCACCTTTCTTTATCTTTGATAAGAAGGAAGAGAAAATGATACTGCTAATGTGAAATATTTTGCACAGCAGCATCTTTTGCAGGGTTGCCATTCAAATCTGGAAAAAAAATTCCCTGTGTTTTCATTGTATATATTATGCGCAATATATTAAGAGGAAACAACAATTACTATGCTCTTGTGTGAGCTATATTGGGCTAACTCTATAAGTTTTAACTGCTGAACATACTTAAATAATGGTATAGTAAATTAAATAGTTTAGTGTAGCTGAAATATCTTGGTTAAATATCCCATAGATTATGCTTTGAGTGGTCACCATTTTTTAAAAGGCAAAAGTAAGAAACAAAATTCCCTGTATTTTCCCAGTTTGTAAAGAAAAAAATCAAAATTCTCAGCTATTTTAGGTGATTTTTAAATTCCCTGTATTTTCCAGGTCTTCCCTGTGGAGTGGCAACCCTGTTTTGGTCTTTTTACCTGGATGATGCAGATGACCCCACAGTTGAATTAAGAAACCCCACATGCTCAGTTTTGAGACCCCACGAGTTGAAATGATACAATAAATGATCTCAATTCCTCTTCCTCAATGAAATTTCCTTTTTATTTCTAACCAAATTGCTCCTGTACTTAACACAGTTGGGTTAAAAAAAAGAAGAATGGAAATTTAATCAAAGCGATATTCACATAAATCAAACATTTATTTAAATATTTGTTAAGTGATCTATTCTGAATACAACTCCATAGGGCCTGTAAGACATCAGGCCCTATGGAATATTGTCATGCTTCTTATTTCTAGGTTTGTTTTTAAGGAAGTATTAGAAACAGATACTACTCAATTGAGGCTTTCTGCACCAAAAGTGAGAACTTTAAGTGATGCTTAAACTTGTATTCAAGAACTGTAAAATTTTTATCAATCCATAAACGATGACATTGGTGTAAAAATGCTAGATGATTTAAAAATGTACCATGAAGATATGGTACGTCACAGCCGTTTTAAACAAACTTTCATCACATTTTTTTTCCGCGGGATAAATGTAAAACAAAGGAATGCATCAAATTCTTTAATCTACATTTCTTGGACTGTAAATATTCAACTTTCGTTAAGTTTAAATAAATACCAATGTAAATACTTGTTACAGACTGTTTAATTATTTCTTCATAGCAAACAAAGGAAAAAAAATTATGGTGTGAGCCTTTGCTATTAGTTTACCTTCCCCCTCAAAGAAACAACTCTTGTAAACGGACAATATTTTGGGTCCCACTCATAACTGAGGTTTCACTCTAATAATGTTATGAAGAAAATAAATACTTTCATTCTTAATTGTTTGTACAATTTAATAATCAGGGTTGGCAAGTTTTTGACACATGATGGTTTTTACAGGTTTATACCATGGTTTTTACCGTCATGTCAAAAACCCATAGTTTTGGTAAAACTGTATTTTTATTTGAGTTTAACTGCTTATAATTTAAAATTAATTCATTTTTGGGCAATAAAATTAGAAAAAAAGTTGTTAAAAGATACTTAAGAACAGATTCTTGCATTTTCCCAACATGATTATATCAAAACATACTATTTGAAGTAAAATATTAGGATACCAGACAAAATTTTAAACATTTCCAAGCATCATTTTGTTTGGCATATTACATTACTGAAGAATGTCAAGTCATTCTTGACTTAGAATTTGTTAGTAGTTACAAGTTTTGTTTAGCTTATTTCTAATATTTAAGAAATGCCAAATTTTAAATTCTTCTTTTTAGTTCTTGAATTTATTAATAGTTCGAAGCTTTTTCGTTTGTTTGTTTATTTCCAACAATTAAGAAGTGCAACATTTTGAATCCTTTGCAAATCAAGCTATAATGATAAAAGTATCACTATTTTTAATAAGTATATAACAATATTTCTATATGAATGTTTATCCTTCTATAAGAATACATGTACATAGTTGCAAAATCAATAGCAATCATTTACAACATTCATTTATAAAGGCAATTATGTGAAAATAGTATATTGCTCGCTATATGCCATAAATGAAAGAAAACAGTAGGTTTTTGACGGTTTTTACCACTGCCACGTCAAAAACCAGTTTTTGACGTCAAAACCCAACCCTGTTAACAATACTATAATAATTTGACGTAGTCAATGAAAAATTTTAACATGTACATGAATAGCCAAAAAAGAAATTAGAGCTTCTGCATTGTTGTTTTAAAAGAATATTTAAAAAAAAACCTGCAATATAAGAAAATATGGTTTTTAATTCTAATAATTTTATATTCAGAAATTAGTGTTTCTTTTTTAAAAAGAAAGATAGCTGCTGAGGATAAATATTACATTAGAGTTTAAAAGCTAAATATTATTACACATTGGCCTAATGTCATCTGGTTTCCTTCCATCTCTTCTCTCTCCTTTCTCATTTACCTGAAAATGAAAATAGGAATTTAATTGTACTAGTTTTAGTTACTTGTCCATAAAATTGATTAAAAAAATCAATAAAAAATATAAAATTGCAAAATGGAAAGAAACACAACAGAAAAAAAAAGTAGTTTTTAACTGTTACTAAATTACCCTCTGCTTTAAAAATATAACGCCAAAATTCTCAGTGTTCCATATCAACTGGAAAAATGAAGATCAATAATAAAAATGTCAGAGGAAAACAAAGGTTGCTCAGAATTTCCACTTACAGAGAAGTAAGAAAAATAAAGGATAATAAAACTTTATAATATAATTGCATGTGTGTATATAAGAGAAATACAACAAAAAATGGAAAATTGAAAAAAAAAAATTATTCAAAAGAATTTTCTTTTATTTTTTAAAATAAAACTTCGTTGCTTTTAATTTTTAAAATAAAACTTTAAACCAATGCCTTTAACATTTTATGCAGTTCTTCCTTTTTTTTTTGTGGAAAAGTTGTCTGTATAGCAAAAATGTTTTTAAAATTCAAATCTATGAGCTGTTATGGAAAGGAAAATAATAATAAAGACAAACAGAAAAATGGGTGGAAAATTCACAATATCATATTTTTTAGAAGAAATGTAGCATCATAAAAATAAAAGATTAAAGAAAAAAACTGTATTTTGTCCAATAAACTATTCAATACAATCTAACATTCCAATACTTATTATTCATAAACATCTGTTATCCAATGTCTAATATACAGTCTGGTATTTATTATTCCTGCTTTTGTTTCTTTTTCCAGCAAGATATCAATGATTATACGGTATTGATTACAACTGAAAGAAACTTTAAATGAACACCAATCAAAACACAATGTTAAATTCTCTTTTTCTTCATTTATGCTACAGGAATTCAACATTATCCTTTGCAAGTTTGACTTTTTTCACATAATTCTCTTACATTAATGATTTTTCACATTTGCTGTTTTTTCCCCCTTCCTCCACAAACAAAGGTGGGAGAAATTTCTCATTCTATTTTAACTTGATCTTGATGAAGCTGTGTGTTGATTCAAGTTTGAACTTTTTCAGTCTTGGTTTAAGGATGAAATAAGGGCTCTTTCAGGGTTAGTGTCTTATTTAAATTAGAGCAAGACTGAAGGAAAGCATTAATTTGACTTGATTCCCTTGTATTTATCATAGATTTTAGAATGTTATACTCAATATTTTGCATAGAAAAATTATGAAACTTCCGGAAATTCCAGTTAATTAATCTTTTTGGTTAGTTGAATTCCAGTTTGCCAAACTCTTACTGTCAAGTACTTGAATACAAATCATTTAGACACATTAAAAGTATAATCACACTAGATTAAAAAAAAAAATAACAGATGTCATCACTACTGTTACAGAAAAGTTTCACTATGTATGCTTTTCACTCTCTTAACACTATTTAGATTTTCTCGTATTATTTATTCTTTCATTGGCTGGCAAAATAAGATATTTTGTACTTTTTTAGAGAAATATTTCAGGAATATTCATGCAGGAAAAAGTTATTGATGATAATGAGGTCATTAATTTCCGAATCATTTTTTGAATATGACATTTTATGAATATTATTTTAAAACAAGATTTAACAAAGTTGAAGGTTTTTTTTTTTTTAAACTGCTTTTATTTAGCTTTATGAAAAATATTAGTTAAGGAACAAGTTAAAAATATTAGTTAAGGAGTTTTTGCAGTCATATCGCTGGTTCAAAATTAAAACGGCGCTTCTGAAAACATGATTAGTGTTGTTTGAATGAGAAGTGAGTGCAGAAGTGTCGTTTTAATTTTGAACCAGCGATATGTTCTTATATCTAAGCATGCACAATACACTATGGTTTTTTAATTTTTTTTTGTGATGAATTTCTACGTTAAATTTTTTTGAACTTAGAAATACAAATATTTTCTAAAGCTAAAATTAATCGAAGAATAGTAATTTTTTGCAGCCATATTATTTTATACTTGTGTCAAACAAAAATGATGATTATGGTTAAAATTCCATTCTATCTATAAAGAATAAAACATGAAGATATAAATAAAAACTTACAATGCTTTCTTGTTTTTTACTACTTTTAAAGAAATTTGGTGACATACAATTGTCTGGAGGAGCAACACGACGATTATCTCTACCCATGATACAACTTTTCTGAAAAATAAAAGAATATTAACTAATAGGTTACAGAATAAGCCAAATCATATATTTTTTTAAAATATAGAAGCTCTAAGAATTTTGTAATAAAGTTAAAAATGGGAACTTTTACAGCATAAAATTATTAAAATTGATTGTTTGGGAAGGAAAGTAAACAGGGATGTCAAAGAAATTAAATGTTTTTTTTTAATTAATTTTTTTACATATATTTAAAGTTTGCTGTCATCTTTTGAGATTTAGTGTGTTATCTGAATAAGTGATCAGCATGTTTAGCAGGGTAAATTAACTTCTTTTCAGTGCTGTATTCAAGAAATCAGATTTATTTAACGAAAGGAAAAAAAAATCATAGTGGTCAGTGACTAATAAATAAGCAGAATTGACATTTTTTCAAGAAGAAATCTATTTCTTCAGGACAGTGTAAAAATGGGAAGAGACTAAAAATAACCATTACAGTTTACCAGTTATTATAAAAGTAACTTAAATATAAACAAATTAAATTTAATTTAGCACCAGAAAATTAAAAGTTTTTCTTACCAACTCTGTAAACAAAAAAATCTATATCTTTTCATATTATTTATCTTAGTTTTATATTTATACAGAGTTAGTAGTTTTACACAGAATTTAAAAAAAACAAAAAACATATTACTTAAAAGACAACATAAGTATTCATATTTAAGAGTATACTTTGATTATACAAATTAGTAGACTATATGTAAAGTAGATATCCTGGCGAAAAAAATGAATACAAATTACAGCAGCCACACTTTACTTTCACAAAAACAAATCTGTTATATGATAAATAATAAATTTCAAAAGGTTTTCCGAAATAGACATGCTGAAAATTATTGTAACACTCTCCACTCCCAATAAGCCTTCCATGCTCAATCTTCACTGCTAACTTTAGATAGTTTAGTAAACTATACCATATGAGCACACTTATACCATATTGGTGTTTTCATTGTACCTAACTGCATCTTGTGTCCTTCAGGAGCTTTTATGGGCTTTATTCATTTGAAAAGTTGCTTCGTGTTTTTCTTTTTGAAACTGATCTCCACACAACTTTCAATACAAGGATAATTTTTATTCAGCTCGTAGAGAGCTCATGGCAGATATGGCATCTGTCCTGGTGTAGGATTAAAAAATTTTTTTATATTTTTTTTTACTGTAATTGTGAATTCAATGTGAATTAGCAAAAGTGCAAGTGTTTAATAATTGATAATAATCCAAAAATAAAAGGAATGTCGAAAATTGTAAATTGCACTTTCAAGTCATCACTTCTTGACACGCTTAATTTGTTCAGATTTTATTGTAAATCTGTGTTGTTTCTTGATCTTTTTTTCAAAAGTTATTGCAATGGATATCCGCATGCTTAACTACATTCTGCACAGAAAAAAAAAATGACAACAAATGAATAAATTAGAAGTTATCGAAATACGGTATTATATACACATAAATATTGTCATATTTGCTGTTGATGTGCCTAAATAAGTGAACCGCTCTTAGTTGGTCAACCTATGCAAGTGGCCCTTCGTTAATCAACCTGCTGTGCAGGTGGCCTTTCACTGAAAAAGGTTGTGCACCTCTAGGTTAAAATAAAATTTCCTCTTAATAATTTGATGACGATTAAAGACTTGATTTATTTTTCACCCTAACTAAGTTCATTACTAATTATCGGCCAAAGTTTCTAAAGTACATGTTAAACATAAAATTGAAACAGAATTTTAATTTTCAAATCTTTAATCTAAAAAATCTACCTACTACATAAATGTAAACATTGTCTCATAGAATATAACAGATAAAAACATAAATGTAAGCATAGAATTTTACTAAAAGACGCATGTCATGTAAGAATGTACGCATGTTCCAACAAATATTTTTACATCATAAATTAAAGTGCGTAAAATAGCACTTTTTTGAAGAATTTCTATTGTTTTGGGTATGTTCGATTTCCTTAAATATTTATAATACATAGTTAGTACTTTTGTAGTGTATCTATATAACAAAATAATTTCGAAAAATAGATTCAGTCTTAGTAAAAAAATCTAAGGAATAGAATTTCATTATAAAAACAACCATCAAATTTATTATCAATTTATTTCTTATGATATATAAAAATTAACAATTAAAACAAAACGGAAAAAAATATGCACAAGAAACATTTGATGCTTTTTGCTTAGAAAGTAAATTTTAATTATAATAACCTTATTTAAGCAGAATTCCGTATATATAACTTAAGCACACGATGGCTCGTAGTTTAAAATCTTTAAAATGTAAACAGTAAATAAAACCAATTGTTGCCAATTGGTAAATCTGAATTTAAGGGAAACATTTAATTTCGTAATTTGTTCCAAATCATGTGAACGTAATACTGAACTGGGTGAGTCAGCTTAATCGGTTGAACAAGTTTACTTTCATAAAATTAAAACTTGTATCTGAAGAGATAAACTAAATTATACTTTTTCAACTCAATGAGTTGTATAAGTTTTATCAGTTTTCCAGTGAGCACTATAAGTATTTGATTTGTTTATCTCACAAGATGTTGTCTCAGAGGAATGTTGTGATGGTTGATAAATAAATTTGTCAAAGCTTGTAGATTCTGTAATTAATTATGCCATATAATTAATTTTCATTTTATCACTCATACTGTATAGTCGTGCTGTGATCTATTGTGATGATTTAGTATATAATCTTTGATTTTTCATTGATATCAAATTAATTTTATAACATGTGCCTTAAAATATCACTTATTACATTAGTATTAGCTACCACAATATTGTCCTGTTTTTGTGAAATAAATCGACATGTGAGTAAGCGATAACATTGCCTCGTATTAAAATTGACTCGCAAGCTTTAATTTATTTAATTTAATCTGATTTTTTTTCTATTTTTTTTAGATTGAGTGTACTGTTTATGCAGATTCAATTGATCAAGAGAATAAACATAATTTAAATGTCATCTACGTTACTGCTACAGATGATCACGATAAAATCCATTATTTATGGAGCTCTTATGTTGTTCCTAGTGTAATTATTTCTAGAACTTCAAAAGATACTACACTTGAAAAAATTGACTTTGAAAAGCTCCGTTTATTTCAAAGTGGTGCTATTCAATTTAGTAAGAATCCCCTCTCCTCAACAGGTTTTACAATATCCGAGGTAAAATGATTTTTAAGTAACTGTTGTAAAATAAATGATTTAAAATTAAATTATTGATGTTTCATGTTTTCTCTCATATATCCATTAATGAACTGTCTATTTACATTGCTGTATATTTAATATTCCAATAATTTTCTCTTATATCTATCCCTTAATGAACTGTCTATTAATATAGTAGAAGATTTTAAAACTTTGTTATTATTTTAACTCTTTATCTAAGACAATAAAGGAACTCCTTTCATTAAAATATTAAGATAAATTCTTTGTATAACTTATTCAACTAAATTCCATTTGTTTTACATAGAGTTTAGGGATATTAACATATCGATATCTGTTCATGCAAACTGTAATCACCAAGGTGCTAAGGGGATTTCTAACTTGTAAAAATTAATATATATATATATGTATATAATTATCAAATTTTGCATAAACCCAAGCAGTAGCCCACAAAACTAAAAAAATCATCATGAAAGAGAATCAACTTGAAGGATTATAATCCATAGTTACTCCCAGGAAAGCCTCTACATATATATATATACAGTACAGAACCCGTTATCCGGAAATCAGAAAACAGGAAAACCAAAAAACCGGAACGGTAACCTTGATATTGAAAGTACTCAGGTTGATATGTCAACCTTAACTTCTAAACGTGCATTTTTATTTTAAAATATATACTTTTGTTTTGGAGCACTGTGCATTATGTGAGACACAGTGGAATTCTTTGTTTTGTACTTATAAAGAAGTAACTCTTTTTCTTTTAATTTTATTTCAGTGTACTGTATGATTAGTTAATAAATAAAAGCTTTGTTAATTTAAATAAGAGCTTTGTTAATTCAAAGCTGCATTTTTCTTTATATAAGTGGAATTGAAAGCAGGGGGGAAATTCATTCTATAAAATTGATGTTGTTTCTTATGCTATTTGCCTATACCAGTAAGCCTGCTTGGTGAAACCAAGCAAATTTAAGGCAGAGAGTCTGTTTCTTGCTTTTCAGTGGCGTCATCTATTACCAAGAAATTTACTTCACCCACAAACACACGTCACAGCCCATTTTAAAGAACAGACTCGTTCAAACATCCATTCATTTATCCACAAATCATAATTTTGACCTAAACCAGAGAATAATCAATCTCCGATTCAGCACCCCCTGAGGTATTGATTTGTTTTAGGAACTTATCAAATCAATCATAGGTCAAGTGCTACAAATCATAGGCTAAGTTTTCCAGAAAATTTTTTAAACTTAACCTATGCATTTGGTTTAGCAAATTGTTAAATTTGAAGAAAGTTTCTTGTTTATTCATTGTATCTCTAAATAATAGCATAAAATACAGATCTTGTTACCCAATAATATTTTCATATTGGTGCCTGTTTGTACCAACTGCTATTGTTTAGGTGTTAATACATGTTTCTTGTACTAGCCATAAGTTTAAATATATATTGTGGCTTGTCTGGAGATGGCTCTGTTTAATTAGTTTCTTAGTTTTTTTTATATACTATTGTGTCGTTGTCTACAGAGCTTGGCAACCATTTAATGATTAGTGATCAATCGTGATGTATACCATGCATTTCTGTACATAATATTACTTTAATTAAATTGTTGTTTGTGTTATTAGATAAAATAGTTTACTAATTATATTTTAGCTGTGGCAAAATTCTTATGAAAAAGATTCTTCAGATATAAATGAAATAAGTGAAGTAGTTCCCTTAGCTTTGGAAAATTTTCAATGGAACAATGTAACAAATAGTTCTATAAGCTGTTCTGAAACATTTGCTCATATAAATTTAGTTTCTTCTGGTGATGAAACAGTTTTTTCGAAAGGAGGGACATTTGAAATTGAGGTAAGTATTCAAAAATATTTATTATATGTATAAGATTTTTATCATATGATGAGTAATAATGGCTCCTTATTATATTTGTTTCCATATTTTTTTAAATACTTTAAAATCAAATTATAAGTGCATGTTTTAAAATATTATAATGGGGTTGCTTTACCCGATTTTAAATGTTCATGTGAAAACACTGTCCAAGTAGAAAAGGATAGCAATAATGTGATAAATTCTTAAACTTTGTATTTTTAAGAATGAGACATTAAATGATTCTGTCTTAGACTTTACTGTATTTAATAATGTCATTTAGTTTTCTTTGTTTTAACATGTTATTTCAACTGACAATAATAAACTTTTTTTATAAGAATTTTCAAAAAGAACTATTAAAATGTTTTCTTTTTCTTTATTGTTAGTTTTCAATTTCTGGTAAAGAAGAAGCTGCATCTAATTATCCTCACCTGATTTATTCTGGAAACTCAACTCAACTTAAAGTTGTCTTCAACAAATTTTACTCAAATTCCTCTAGAATACGATATGCTATGGAAGTATCTGTTTTTTCACCTTTAGCCAAAACATGTGATCAAGATGATTGTGAACCTGTTGTCGCAAAGTCTGTCAGTGATGAGTTTTCACCTGGCATTTTTTCTGTAAGTGAGAAATGATTTGAAATTTTGTATCTGTCTTAAGTATTATAAAGAGCCTTCCACCTTCACCATCCTAAGATTTTGGGTTAAAATTTTAATTGTTTTCTAGGTGCATTTTTGTTCTTAGCAAAATTTTGATGGTAGAGAATCATTACATTGCACAATATCTTTTAAAAAGTAGGAAATTAGAGTTTAGCTTTGTTAGATTGGAAAAAATAGCATTTAATTGTTTTTAAAATTTCTATGGATTCTAATAGCAAGTAAAATTGTGCATAGAGTAATTTAGAATAGGTATCTTAACAATTGTCTGTGAATTTTTTTTGAGAACTTGTATTTTATGCTTGTATTTTGGTTTAAATTGATGAAAAGGAATTTAGATATAGTGGAGAAGAATTATTTTGACTTAAACAAAAACAATAATATTTTTCCAAATAAATAAATAAAAAAATTTTAAAAACTGAAAATAGACAAAAATAAATTACTAGGTTACTTTCTAAAAATACTGATTGAAGAATTGTATTAATATAATTTTGTCATAAAATTCGTTGAAATTTTAGCACACTATGTTTCATTTATTCTAATTGCCATTTTGTATTTTGCCTGTTTTGAAGGATGCTTAGTTTAGCAAATAGAATAAATAACAGTTATTAATTCATTTATGGAAATTAAATATCAATGATAAAAGCATATGTAATGTCACCCCTTCCTGCACTAAGTTTCGTAATGGTTGAATTTGGTTGCGAGTGAAGACATCTCTTAAGTTATATAACTTTTAATTATTAATTTATATTTAATTTGACAATTTAAGTGATTATATTTTATCTATATTTTTTACCTCATGTAATGAATGTATTTTTAAAGTTTATTTTTTTCATGTTTCTATTAATTTGGTTATTCTTATTTATATTTGGAATGTACATTGTATTTTATAATTTTTTTTAAAATTACTTTAAAAGGATCATTTTTAAGGAAAATAATTGAAGCTGCCTTATTTTGAAAAGTGATATAATTTTAAATTTAACTTCGAAATATTAAAAAAGAAAATATAAAAATGAATCTATAATAATATATCCAAATTTAATATGTATTTAAAAAAAAAATTTTTTTAAATTTTTTTTTCTCGATTAAAGTTGTTGATTAATTACATGTTTAAAAATTTAATATTTTTAATTTTTTCTGACATGAATATCTGGCAACAACATTACTTCAGTAAAATAAGCGTATTTTATTAAAATAATATACAGTACAGAACCCGTTATCCGGAAATCAGAAAACCGGAAAACCATAAAACCGGAACAAAATTCGATAAATTTTCCCGCCATTTAAAATTTTTTTTTTTTCCTCATAGGATTTTAGGATTTTTCTTTCGATTTTGAAAGATGTTTACCTTACCATAATTTTGGAAATAATCATTAGTGTATTAATTCATTGTTTTTTCTTCTTTTTAGATTATTTTCAATTTTTATTTTTTTAAGTTGGGTTTAACAGTAAAAAGAAACAGCTTTTTGTAGCGATTCAGAAAACCGGAAAAATCAGTTATCCGGAATAGCAATGGTCCCAACCGNTGTCCAAGTAGAAAAGGATAGCAATAATGTGATAAATTCTTAAACTTTGTATTTTTAAGAATGAGACATTAAATGATTCTGTCTTAGACTTTACTGTATTTAATAATGTCATTTAGTTTTCTTTGTTTTAACATGTTATTTCAACTGACAATAATAAACTTTTTTTATAAGAATTTTCAAAAAGAACTATTAAAATGTTTTCTTTTTCTTTATTGTTAGTTTTCAATTTCTGGTAAAGAAGAAGCTGCATCTAATTATCCTCACCTGATTTATTCTGGAAACTCAACTCAACTTAAAGTTGTCTTCAACAAATTTTACTCAAATTCCTCTAGAATACGATATGCTATGGAAGTATCTGTTTTTTCACCTTTAGCCAAAACATGTGATCAAGATGATTGTGAACCTGTTGTCGCAAAGTCTGTCAGTGATGAGTTTTCACCTGGCATTTTTTCTGTAAGTGAGAAATGATTTGAAATTTTATATCTGTCTTAAGTATTATAAATAGCCTTCCACCTTCACCATCCTAAGACTTTGGGTTAAAATTTTAATTGTTTTCTAGGTGCATTTTTGTTCTTTACCTTACCATAATTTTGGAAATAATCATTAGTGTATTACTTCATTGTTTTTTCTTCTTTTTAGATTATTTTAAATTTTTATTTTTTTAAGTTGGGTTTAACAGTAAAAAGAAACGGCTTTTTGTAGCGATTCAGAAAACCGGAAAAATCAGTTATCCGGAATAGCAATGGTCCCAACCGTTCCGGACAATCGGTTCCCTACTGTATTTTATTGTTTAGCAATAATCGATCTATTTTCAAGTAAAAGATTTTTAAGTAGCTACAACATTATTATTATTGATCTAAAATAAACCGGAAACTTAAAAGTAATAATTTATTTTATATTAATTTTATAAAGATTGTAAAAATAGCTTAAATGTTTTTCTAAGATTGCTTAATTAAAGTCTTTTATTTTTCTTTTATTTTTAAAAAGAGAAAAATTAATGATGTACAAATTCAGAAAATATAATAGAGCCTACATAAATATTTTCCTTCTCATTTACTTGAGATTTCAGATGCATAATGATTGCAACATATTAATTATATTGTAAATTACTTTCTAAAAGTAATACTTGAGCCATAGTGGCTCATGCGATAGAGAGCTTGGCATGGGGTATCCACTGCTAGAGTGATAGACAGGGGATAGAGCACTCATCTCCCAATAGCTGGTCAATTCAAATTCCACCCCCGGTTTGCACCGACCACAGTATAAATGACATAAAATATCCTCAGTAGTAGATGTATCATGGGTTAGAGTCCCCTTGCTGTTAGGCTAACCATGGAAGGTTTTTGTGGTTTTTCTCTCCATTTAACGCAAATGCGGGTTAGTTTCATCAAATAGTCCTCCACAAAAGCAAATTTCACCCAATACTTGATCCAGGAGTTGTTGTTAAACATCCCCTTGGAGAAGGAAAACCTGAACCAGGTCCAGAAGGCCGCGTCAGTTCCCCATATATCTGCAGAAAGTCCTGATCAACCAGCAGCTACTTAAAAGAAGCGCCACGGCAAAAAAGGTGATCAGGACTAGCAGGTTGTGAGCAGGAACTAGGTTGGAAAGTCTTCTCCCCATTTTGAAACCTTAAACACTTAAGATGGCCTGGGAACATTACGGAGTTGAACATTAGTAGTTGTAAACCCTAAATTGGCTTGTTTGTTCAACGACGGTTATAAAATAAAATAAAAATGCTACTTTACATACAATGATCGATACCTAAATTAAGTATCTTATTAACAATACCCTGGATACAATGTTATTTTAATATTTATAATTATGTCTAAGTTGATTTTCCTTAATTTTTTTTTTGTGTGAAATGTTAATCCTGATTGGAAGGTTTGTCTGTGAATTATATTTATTATTCATGTCCTTTCTTATTTATTTTTGCTGTTTATTTAAGAGTTAAATGCAATATTTTTTCTTCTTTAAATCATCATCAGCATTGTTGTGACTGCCCTTTGTGAGCATGGACCTTCCTCAGAAGCTTTTCCCATTCTGCCCTTCTCCCAGCAATTGATTTCCAGCTCTTTAATTTTAGGATGGCAAAATCCTCATCCACACAGTCTTTCCATCTCTTTTTGGGTCTTCCTTTTGACCTTTTGTTGGAGGGGGTTGCATTAAAAACTCTTAATGCTGTTTGTTCTGGGCCCATTCTCACTACATGCCCGGCCCATTTCATTCTACTTAGTTTAATAGATTTAATGAAAATTATAACTACACTAACTCATAACTTTAAATTATAACTACATTTAAAAGTCATTTTCTTTTATTCACATCCATTATTTTTTCGCTTAAAAGTTTTTTTTTAAACAAATGATGCATTATATTTAACTGAAATAAAGCAGACAGTAATGTTTGTAATAAATCTGTCAATTTAAGTATTTTTAAAATTTATACTAACATTTTGTAAACTTATATCAAGTGTTGCATTATTTTTGTACAGTAATGACACAATATTCTCAAAAAATATGTACTTTACATGACAGATTATTTCCATTTTTTGCAATACAACTTTTTAACTTTAAAAGAAAATTAATTTTTTCTTTATATATTTTTGTAGGTAGTAATTTTATTATAAATTATAACCAAATGTTTTTAAATGTTATTGCATATTATATTTCATTCATTTTTGTTATAGGATATTACACTTTTACCACCATGTTCTCAAGATTCTTTTCTTTCGTGGCGTCCTGTTGCTTATACAAGTAATGAACCGTCTGTTGCTAACTCAACTGATGCTAAAATTACATCAAAGTGCTCTAAATCTGTTGAACGTCATATCCAAAGCATTGCCGAACTATTTTTTAATGATCTTGGAAATAGTTCTGTAAGCAAGTTTAATATGACTTTTGGAACCAAAGGAGATGGATTTTACTCTAAAACTGAATACACAATGTGGTGAGTTTTTTGATTCTCATGGTTAATTATTAATTAACATTAAAAATAACAATATTAACTATATATAATAGTTCTAATTGTTTAGATGTGTATATATTTTTTAATAGCTGCCTATAGTTACCAGCTGGTCTGCAGCAGACAATTTATTTGAATCTGCATGTTAAAGTTTTGAGGCCAAAAAATTCTGAATACACATAGTCAGACAGAACACAATTTGATTATATTCTCTAATGTAACTAATTGTGTAACATTATACTACACAATTATTAATGACATTATACTAATTCTGTAACAGGTAACTAATTGTGTAATTGATTAAATCAGTCTGTTTACAGATCACTCTTGAAGAAACTGATTGTTGTTTTTACTATTTATTAGCTTTTGAACTTGGTTTTGTTCTGGCTAAAAAACACATTTTGATTTATTAATTATCATTAACAGTATGTAATTGCTGCAAGTAATGATTTTTTGCAAACAAAATAGACCGAGTAGAAATATGTCTAATGCTCTGCAACAAGAATGTATATAAGCATAAATGTTTTGTGGGTATTCATTAGAAATAAACAACTGTTGCTAGTTAAATTGTTACCAGTTTTTTGTACTGAGTTTTGTTTTATACAGATTTCTTTTTCAAGAAAGATTTTACAAATTTATTCTTTTAGCCCTAATTATAATTTTTCTGCTGAATTGACTTTTATACTACTTCATTTCTATTTTTTTAATAGTTCCCTTTCCTAGTAACTTAACATCATTATAAGCATAAAATCTGATTTTAAATTTTAACTTATTAAATGAAAAGTTAATGCATAGTATTCTTCACCTCCAAAAGTAATGTTACTGGTTTGTTGTCAACCACTAAGATTTTCTACACTCAAAATTTTTTTCCTATAAATACAAATTTATTGAGAAAATTTCATTATCTACTGATTATTTAACATTGCTTAGGTTAAAGAAGGACATTTTAAAAGTTTTTCATATCAACAAATTTCATGCAGTGCGAAAATTGTCCAGCTAGATTTTACTTGTGCTAACTTGACAAAGGCAACTAAAAATAAATAACTATTAAAAACTTGCTATAAACTTCAAATGAATCTCAATACTGATTAAATCAAGCTGTAATCTAGTAAAAGTCAGTGATGTTTTAAAAAGAGTTATTGATGTGATAAAAGGGTAAAGCGGCTATGGGGCTGAGCCGTATCACTAGTCAGTAAACCACTAGGAAGCATAGAGGGTGTAGCCCTGAATGTATCTTTGTGATAACCTTTTCTAATTGGTACTATATCTTATTCTATTTTTTTTTTCTGTTTTAGATTTTTAAGTTGCTCTTTGTAATAAGCATACAAGCCTTCTTGTATGTATGCAAATAAAATAAAAAAATGAATAAAAGGAGGAAAGTGTTACTGAAAAATTACAATAAACAAAATAACTATATTATTTCAGAATCCATGTTAAAGTGGAAAAGCACGCTTTTTATTTGAGAATTCATCCAAAATTCAAAATTTGTATGTAAGTTGTTATAAATAAAAAAATAAGGCATGCTGCACTTGGAAATAAAAATTTACTTCCTCTCTTGTAGTAACGGTTACATAGTGGGTAAAAGAAATATGAATTTTCCGAATTTGTAATTAGAGAATTAAAAATTTGTAATTCAAAGCCTTTTTATGTGTTTTTTTTTTCAATTTTTATATTTAGGCATTTCGTTTTCAACTATTATTTTATGTCTTTTATTGTTTTTTATGTATGTTTTGTGATATTTAATGATTATTGACAATGCTTAGCTGAAAGAGAATTATTTAATTTCTATTGGTGATGCCCTCCGAGAATATTCTTGATCCAATTATAATTTGACCCCACAACTTAAGCTTCTGAAACTTTTCTAAAAATACTCTACTTTTATTCGAAAATATGTACAATAACTATTTTAATATTAATTAAATTCAAATATAATTATTTGATTTGCATTGCTGTTTAACATTTTGATTCTAATATTTTTAGGTCATTCATGGCAGGAGTTGGATCTAGTGTAGGATTTAAGTTATCAGCTACTGCATTAATTTTCCTATGTGTAGGTCTTGGAGCTCTTTCTGTCTTTCTTATCTCTGGATTGATTTTCACAGCAGTTAAAAAATGTCGAAGAAAAGATGAATTACTTTTGAGTGATGCTGTCAACTAATTTAAAGTAAAGGGATTTATTACTTAAGATTTTGCCCTTTTTATTTAAATAATATGTATATAATGTGTTATTTATTTGTAATATAATTAAGGATGTAATTAATATTTAATAATTTTTTTCCATGTCAGTATTTATAGTTATGAATAATAATAATTTAATGACATTTGATTTGTTTCATATTAAATAAGAATGTGCTTTCTTTATTGCTATAAATATAGAAACTTGAAGGCTTTTTTGGTGTTAAACTGTTTTAATTTTTTCCGATAATTAACATTTAGTTGAATGTTGCTCAATCTCAAGGCTTTCATTTTCTGTGTTGAATTTACCATTCTGTGTATTCGAGTGTTATGAAAATTAATATGATTTTTTTTTATTTGATTCTCACTCATAGAATTTTTCTCAAACTGAAAAAATTAAGAATAAAGGACATCAATAATTTATAATTGTTTTGTCTTATATTTCTAATAGTATTTAATAGTTAGACTTGAGATATTTTTTGAGTTTATAGTTATAGGCTTCTATTAACCCTTTGCTAGTAATAAATATGCAGTTTTCGTTTACTTAATTCACGTAGTATTACGAGTAAATAGTAGTCGAAAGTGGCAGCTGTTTTCCCCTGCCATTCTTCCGAAAACGTCACCCTTCTCTGGCGATGCTGTAGATAGCTCGCCTCATATGTTTTAAAAATTTCTTAAAGTATTTGCAGTTCATAAATAACAGTTTTTACGTACTTTAAAACAATTAATAAATGAGAATTATTAAATAGTAAATTATAAATGAGTATAATCAAATATATAAATAATAATAGTTCATTATAAATATAAGGCAAATATTAAATTGTCTAAATAAATACAACTAGTGTAAAACTTTATGAAGCATTTAAATACAGTAATTACCTAAAAAACACTTCAGTCAGACTCAAAGCTTGATAATCCTTCTGTATCCACAACAGAATCAGCATCATAATTATCTAACTTCTGCTTTTGAGCCATTTTACTTTATAAACACCCTAAAAACACGCCAAAATAAAATAAAAACAAGGTAAAAAAAAAAATTCCCCCTTCATTATGAAAAAAATTCACGGAACCCATACTGCCATCTGTAGAAAGTAAAACTAACTAAATTTCGCGAGTAGGATTCATTTGTAACATAATCAATGCAGAATAATAATGGCGTACGAGCTCAGCTCGTCAGCGTGCATTGGGGAGAAATTTCACTATGCGAGTAGTGCTCGTTTCTAACCATTTCGGTCAAAATCTTGCTCCCAAGCGGAACTCGTTTGCGCACATTATGAAGCACGATTGGATTGTGAGCTGAACCTGTTTATAACCATCAAAGGGTTAATTATATATCACAGACCTTCATTTTTCTAAATTTATGAGAAATGGTTCATAGAAAATATTTATCTTTTATTGTCTTTATTATGTTATTATTATCTTTTAATTATCTTTTTAGTAGCAATAATTTGTTTGTCTCAATCTTAAGAAAAATTTAATAGTTAAATGGTGTAGCAATTACTTAAATTCATAACTTATACTGTAGTTGTCTGTAGGCAGTTATGATTTAAAGAAAAAATATATTCATGCAGAATTACAACATCTTGCTTTGAATTTCAAAGTATCAATTTTATTGACATAATTTGTTATCACAACATTTGGCATTATTCATGATGAATGGCAGCTCACTTTGTGTATAAATGTTTATACGAGGTGTAAAAAAAAAGTGTGGATGCGGTCAAATATCTCCAATATACATGGGATAAAAAAAGTTAAAATATACATGCTGTGGGGGCAACTTTGAAATCTTAAGTATGGATTCCTATTTTTTATTGCAGATTTGAGTTCTCCAGAATAAAGTAATCCTGTTTGAGTTATAGGTTTATGCATTTTGTTCATAGATGGTGCTGCAACCAAGGAAATTAAAATAGGGTACATGATCTTTTTTTTTTTAAACAGATGTAAAAAAATTAGAAAAAAAAATTTGAAACATGTCTATTTTTATATTCTTAATCTGATGAGTCCCGAAATTTGCCCTTCTAAACAGTTTGTACCATATTTTAATTTTCCCAGTTAAAGTACTATATGTGAAAAAAAATGCATATACTAAACTCAAATAATGTTACTTTTTTCTGGAGAATCCAAATCTAAAATAAAGGAAAACAGAGTTTCATATTTAAGATTTCAAAAATTGCACCAGGGGTTGGGGTTCGTATATTGAGTTTTGATATCATTGGATAGCTTTTAAAAATTAAATGCGCCAATGTTACTTTTTCAATCCGATCTATATTTTTTGAGATATTTGATGTTTTTTAAACTTTTTTTACACTTTAAATCGTTGTGAAAAAAGTAATCCACTAATGTCCAATTTTCAATAGTGCAATTTTTCAGTTATCTTTTATTTTATAAAAAGCTGTTAAAACAATTGAAATATTTAAAAATAAAGTTATGAGTGAAAATCTTTTTAATTTGAACATAAATTCAAGTAAAATACTAAAGGCTAATGCAATGTCAATAAATCCAAAAAATATTGTAGGATTCCAAGGAAAAAATAAACCTTTTTGTAAAGATATTTACTAAAATATTTACTGAGTACTAAATCATTTAATAAACTTATAACTTTTCTTCTAGATATAACAAGAAGCAGATTTTGAGAGTTAGACTTAAAAATAAAAAGTCTACACTAGATGTGTGTTTCCTTTGAAAAAAATTTTTTTTTTTGAAAAAAAGTCTCATAATATTTTCAATAAGTGCATGATTTGTTCTTCAAAAAATAAGCCAATGGTTGGATTTAACTGTCAATAGTGAATTAAAAAAATGCTGATAAATTTATTATTATTGAATTAAATTAGAATTATTGAATTTAAACTACTGTTATTTAATGATTTGACTGACTATATGGATGTTTTTTTTTGTGCAACATAAATTATTTTTGGAATAATACATTTAGTTCTCCAGGGAAAAATTTTATTTATACACAATTTTTCTTGGGAAACATATTTATGTTTTTAATTTATTTATTTTTCTTCTGTAAAACCACTTGTGACTTATTGTGCAGTTTTGTAAATAAATTGTATAAGTGATAATTTTTTTTAATTTAAGATCTTTTCTGTTAATACTATAAAGTATGTATTTTTATAACAAATAAAATATTTATAGAAATTAAAGACCTAATGTTTTCATACTTTTTAAACATAATTTCTATCAAAGATTTGCCAAAATACATATTAAGAGAGGTCAGAATATTTTGTGTGTATATATATTTATATATAATAATAATAAAACAATTTATTAAAAAAATAAATATTTTGGAATAAAATTTATTTTAAGCAAAAAAAAAATTTTTTTTTTTTATTAAAAGAAAGAAATTTGTAAAACATTTTTTCATTAATTGTTGCTAAAAATTAGCAATTATTTTTTTAAAATTGGCAGAAATATTTGCTCATTAATAATGCATGTTATTTTATCATTCATGCTTCAAAAGGACAAAAAGAATTTACTATCAATACTTCATTATAGATACTATCTGACAATACTGTCATAAAAATTCATATGTTTGATTAGTTACATATGACTTTAAAATGTTCTCTTCAAGAAATTTATGCTGCCAATGATTCAATTAAGATGCTCATGTTGGCCTTTGAAGTTTTCTGTTGATCTAGAAGCTTTGACATCTGCACCACACTAAGAACAAATTAATTTCTTCATCTTTTATGATATTTGCAAACGTTGATTTCATGTTTCTCCAAACTAAAGCTTTCAGACCAACAAAAAGCTGAAATTTATTGTTTGTGATTTTGTATCACTTTCTCAGATTTGTCAATTGATATAAAAATGATTGTTACCCATTGGTCTTTTGTAGAATTTAAAGCTTTCAGGCTAGTAAGGATCTTATAGATAACCAAATTACGAACAGTAGCCACTTTTAGATTACTGTATTCACAGCATCGGGGTTGTTGATCTAATAAATTCTTTTGAGAATAAAAATCAATATGTTTGATGTAAATCAGTTTTTTTTTAATTTAATGATTTACTTAAAAAATATACTCGTATGAACTGTATATTTTACAACTGAGTGGTTAATAATTGGTTGTTGCTGATATGTACAGAGTAAAATTGCGTATAACAATCAATCATTAAATAAATAAATAACTTTGATTACATCCAACCATATTACAATCATACATAAACTTGGTATTAGGTTAATATTTGCTTTCCCTCCTTACAGTATTAGCAGTTAAAAAACATTTTTGGTAACACTTCAATGTCCTGGAATTCATAAGCCAGGATAATGACCAATTCGCCATTTTATAGCATATAACTTTATTTTAATTTAATATTTTGGCCTAAGACGTTTACATTCTGCAGAAAGCAACAGGATTTCTTAAAATAACTCAGATAAATCTATGCAGTTTATGTTATTAATGATTTCAAGAAGCCAGGAAAATGACAACATAAAAACCTACTCATCTTGAATATTCATATCTTTTTCAAATTAACACTTCAAGCTAAACAAATTAGCTCTTTTTATGTATTTTTTTTAATTTCGTTTCTAATGTATTTTGATAGAAAAGTGGAAAAGCGAACGTTTGGAAAATTACTAAAGAGCAGTTTGGTTAAAAAAATGTTACCTTTGGAAAAAGACTTATCACTATATTGCCTCAAGTTTTTAATAGTTTGAAATACAGAATATTTTCTTGCTCGGTGTAGGTTTTGAACTGAAGTTCTCATGAATGCGCCTTCTTCCTGTGGAGGAAACTATTCAAGTCACCTAAAAACGGATAACATAATAGGGACTCCGTTCTTCAAAATGTATACCTAAAAGTTTACTTGATAAAGATTTTACATTTTAATTGGTGCCAATACTTCGCTAGTACATAAAAATCTGATCATCAATTCAAAAGTTATTTAGGGTATGATATGTATTTAATTATTTCCCTCTGTACATTTCCTGGAAGTAAAATATAAAGCTTCATTACTTTGTGTAATTGTGCTTAACAGTAAAAGACAGGTTTAAAAAAGTTGTTTCCATATAATAATCTGCAACGTAAGACTAAAAGCAACTCATTGAGATAAGTTTAATTTATAGATATCTGTAGTTTATTCCTAATTAGGATTAACTAATTTCGGCAGTAAACTGATCACATTAGCTCCAATTCTTCAATTTCTTCAGCTTTGATGCATTTATATCCAGTAATCGTTGAGACGCAAATTTCTTCTTTGGTGCACGATGAATCTTCACACTCTGGCACACCTGTATCGAGCATAAATTTCAAAAATAAACTGGTCATCAAAAAAATTATATTTTGAGAACACAAAACATTTTCTTAAAAGTGGGTTAAAATCTAAATAAAATGTCATTAAAATAGTTCTATATTTTTAATTTTATGACTAATTGGAAACAACATGTACCTGATAGGCTCTTGAGAGCTGGGAATTCAGCAAATCATTTTATTAAAGATATTATAAAGTTTTTGCATAAAACAAATTACATTTATGTAATTTAATTAATTCATATTATTATTTATTAATTAATTCATATTATTAATTATTATTTAATTCCCATTACAATATTTTGAGTCGAATATTATTTAGGAATCTTTCCTGTTTTTTTTTTGTGTTCAAAATTGTTGACCTCTGAAACTTTTCGAAATTTGACTTTTATACTAAATTTGAAAGTTTTCCACTTGTAATTTTTTTGGTTAAATTTTTTATTTTGCTTTCTAAGAAAATTTTTTATGTAAGGAGATTTTAATGTCTGATGAAGCATTTGCTCATACCCCTCCTTCTCCCTTTGTCATCAAAAAATAAGCAAATCACAAGCTCCTCCCCTTTATGTGCTCGTGTAATATTTGAATAGCCTCTCTATATTAAAACAGAGTGGACACATGCATTCTCTCTTTCCTCGGCATCTTTAGTTTCGTCTTAGAAAATGTGTAGATCTCATTCGGTTGTTATNTCAGTGGGAAGCTGGAGTATTTTTATGTCAACCCCTTTTTTTTTTCTTTCTTTTTTGAGATTTCCAGATTGTGTTGAAATTTAACAAATATTTATTTTCACGACAGACATACTTAAAAATACTTTTTCTTTAGTAGAAAATTCTACTTATAAATTTAAAAATGAGCATCGAGGTGATAAACATCAAAACCAGCTTGATTGTCTGATGAAACCTGGAAATGCTTTTAATAATTGCGTAACTTCTTTCTTCTTTTTCCAGCAATCAAAAGGGTTTTGATATTTTCAGTACTACCTTTTTCAGTAGTGATTCGTTAGATTTCGGTAGTTTTTTTTCCCTTGCTTTAATATTAACTTATATCCTGAGAGGCATGTTTTTTTTTAACTTTTTCCAACATTGATTCGAAAAATATGTATTAAGGGTGACTGTTATAAAAGACTGCATTTTCTTAGTTATTTGTTCCACAACACTCCTAATTTTCTTTTTTTTATGTACCCTCTTTGAAGTTTCTTTCCTCAAATTTTTTTTAAAGAAATAGACCCAGAAACAGTTGCGTTATTGCTTGTTGACAGAAAGTAAACCTTTCATTGAAGTCGTTGTTTATGATTTAAATGATAATCATTACTGTTCAGTGTTCAATTTAAAATTTTCTTTAGCTTTTCACCTTATAATTAGGATGGAACAAAGAAAAGGAACACAGCATAAAGCAGAATTTTTATATATTTTCTTCCTCATAATAAAAATTGTTTAAACGAAAATGTCTATTTCAGCTGGAATAGAAAGTTAGTTTTACTTTCCTACAAACTCTAAACTTTAAATAACATCCTTTTTAATTTTAACATTCCATTAAAAAAAAGTATTTGAAACATCCTGAAAAGAAATGGTGGAGCTAATTAACGAGATTTTAAGAAAGAGCGGATTTAATTTTACTTCTCGAAATTCATTACAACCTGCTAATTAAGAACATAAATGGTTAAAGAAAGAGAAATCAAAGTTTCGCTAAGACTTTTTTAAAAAAAAAAATATTTATTACTTTTTTTAAAAACATTTTGTCAAATAATTAATGTTCTTTCTACCAGTGTCATCTAATGCCTGATGTTATTTAATAAAAAAAAAGAAAAAAGAATTAAAACAAATATTACGTATTATTTTAAAACTTCTTTTAAATTTTTCTTGTCAACTTTTGTTTTGATAGAAAGCATTTTCATTCTAGTAAGTCAATAAGACACATTTAACAAAATGCAAAAATTAAATAATTAATTTGAGTTTTGTCTGTTGCCTACATATAACTGCTTAAAATCCACAGTCAGCCAAAATGAACATGCCAGTTAACTTATGAGTTTTCGTATAATTTTGCAAAGTAATGTGATTGCTCGTGAATTTTAATGGGCAAAGACACTTTTTAAACGATATTGTTTTTGCAGTGTAGGAAATGAGATATTCAGATTATAAGTTATAATGGTATAAAAAAGGCAGCTTTCAGATTACTTTTTTATTTTAAATGTCATTTTTATTATCATTATGACATTTTTATCTTTTAAATATATTACATATTTGAAATCATTTGGGTTATATGACAAAATATAAAAAAATGTATTTAAAATTTTCAAGTTTTTCTAATTAAGTTTAATTTTCTTGAAAATTATTTTTTTTTTTATTTTAAGTGCCATTTGCATGATATTTAAGATATTTCTAAAAATGTTATTCTATTTCTAAAAATGTTATTCTATTTCTAAAAATGTTATTCTATTTCTATAAATGTTATTCGATAGCCAGATAGCTTTATAGTTTCTAAAATGTTATTTAAGCTGTTAAAAACTATTGTATTTCTATTGAAATTAGGATATCATAAAATTATTTTCAATTGCATTTTTTCCCGATTTTTTAAGGACATAGACGCATTATAAAGAATGACTTTTTATCTTATGATAATTATTCTTTATTTTGAAATGTCGCTATTCTCCATCGTAAAGGAATGAACCCTAATGAGAACCTTACGTTCTCTTATTAAAATTTTTTATTTTCTTTTACTTTTCTGATTCTATTGTGTGTTTTAATATACAAACACATGGCAAGGATAGCCTGGTTGGCAGGGCGAATCCAGCCGGCCGAAGGTTTCCCGTGTAGTAAAATGGTGATTGGTGAACTTTGAATCTGTCCGGGCACAAAGTCCTCCATGTTCCCATAACAAATTATGCTTCTAGGG